AGGGCAACAAGAAAACATTCCAAAAATACATTAGAAGTAAGAAGACGACCCAGGGCGGAGTAGGCCTATTAATGAAGAGGGGGAAATAATAACAGAAGATATGGCAGAAGCGCTTAATGATTTCTTTGTTTTGGCTTTTACCAGGAAGATTGGTGGCTGCTTTCACTCTTCAACAGTGTTATGAGGTGGCTCACTCAGCCATCAAGGAGTGAATCTCAAAAGCCTTTTACTGGGGCAAGAATTAGCATTTTGCTGATACTTCAAAACATCAGATCAACTTTTCCGCATCGTTGTTCTAATCTGTATAATTAGTGGGTGATTTTGCTGGTTACTGGGAAAGAAATCTTGCTGCTGTGGGTACTTTGAAGGGGGTGAAGAGGGATAGTCAAAGGACTGTCAGTGTGTCCTATCTTCCCTCACTAATTTGGAATGAAGTCAGTCCAGGGATAGTGCATGAGTGAACTCCACCACCTGTAAACTTTCTGAGATTGAAACTTTCACTCCCTTATATAGTACTAGAAGATTTACCTGGTGTTGCTTGGGTCCTTAACTTAATTTTTGTTTTTCTTCATTTTAATCATCACTTTGGGGAGGGGCTGGGGATGAGAGGTTCAGGATGCAGGCAGCCCCAGGGAAAGTCGACTGCCCCAGCCTTCTCTCATCACAGCACCTTGGGGCCAGGTGAGAAGCACCTCTCCATGACCCCAGCAGGCACAGCCGGGAGAAGGATGTGCTCCCTGTGCTCCCCAGCCAGGATGAGGAATGCAGCAAACTGTGCACTTTCCCCTTGCTTCCTGACAGTGTTCTCATATGAATGAAGGGGAAAGGGGGAAGAACCTTAGACACTGCCCCCTGCCTAAATGAAAGAGGTGGAAGGGAAGCTCAGGAAGTCTAGGAAGGGGGTGGATGCACCCACAGACAGCACCTTTCACCTGCCTCATGATTCTATGTCTGTTCCGTATTGTTTTCTGAGAAGCAATCCCATTCCAGGCACAGCCCATGTTCCTGGCACAACCAAACCCTTACGTTGCTTTAAGCCAGGGGTGGGCTAAAGGGCCTCCATAGTCCTGATCCGGCCCACCAAGTGGGTGCATCTGGCCCACGGAGGCCCTGCTGCTCCCCCGCTTCCAGGCCAGGGGGTGGGGGAGCGCACCAAGCCTCCTGCCCCCCTGCCAGGAGCAGGTGGTGCTTTAAAGGGCCGTGCACTGCTTCGCACGCTCCTCGCCCCCAGGTCCTAACTGGCCTAGGGGCAGGGGAATGAGGGAAGTCTCCTCCCACACCAGGGGCATGGGCACCTTTGAGGAACATGGGGTGGGGGCAAAGGCACTCCCTGACCCCCAGACCAGTCATTGTCTGGGGGTGGGGAACCCAGAAATATATTGACCCCGCCCCTTCTGCTTGATGCTCCGCCCCTTCTGCTCGATGCCCTGCCCCTTCCTGTGTGGCTCGGGACCAATTCAAAAATTTTCAAAGTGGCCCTTGGCAAAAAATTATTGCCCACCCCTGCTTTAAGCTATGATAAGCAGCAGCTGCATATTGAATTTAGTGGTCCTAGCTCTTACCACTGAGGAAGTGATTAGGAATAGTCAGCATGGATTCACAAAGGGCAAGTCGTGCCTGACCAATCTGATTAGCTTCTATGCTGAGGTAACTGGCTCGGTGGACATGGGGAAGTCAGTGGATGTTATATACCTTGACTTTAGCAAGGCTTTTGATACGGTCTCCCACAATATTCTTGCCAGCATTTGTTTGTGGGTTTGTGGATTGGATAAATGGACGGTAAGATGGATAGAAAGCTGGCTAGAAGGCCGGGCCCAGCGGGTAGTGATCAGTGGCTCGATGTCAGGATGGCAGTCAGTTTCTTAGCGGAGTGCCCCAAGGTTCAGTTCTAGGACCGGTTTTGTTCAATATCTTTATTAATGACCTGGATGAGGGGATGGATTGCACCCTCAGCAAGTTTGCGGATGACAGTAAGCTGGGGGAGAGGTAGATACGCTTGAAGGCAGAGATAGGGTACAGAATGACTTAGACAAATTGGAGGATTGGGCCACAAGAAATATGATGAGGTTCAACAAGGACAAGTGTAGAGTTCTGCACTTGGGACGGAAGAATCCCAAGCATAGTTACAAGCTGGGGACCAACCAGTTAAGTAGTAATTCTGCAGAAAAGGACCTGGGGGTTACAGTGGATGAGAAGCTGAATATGAGTCAACAGTGTGCCCTTGTAGCCAAGAAGGCTAATGGCATATTAGGTTGCATTAAGAGGAGCATTGCCAGCAGATCCAGAGATGTCATTATTCCCCTTTATTCGGCTTTGGTGAGGCCACATCTGGAGTATTGTGTCCAGTTCTGGGCCCCCCACTACAAAAAGGATGTGGATGCATTGGAGAGGCCACATCTGGAGTATTGTGCCCAGTTCTTGCCCCCTCCCCTCCACTATAGAAAGGATGTGAGAGGGTCCAGCGGAGAGCAACCAAAATGATTAGGGGGCTGGAGCACAAGCCCTACGAGGAGAGGCTGAGGAATGTGGGCTTATTTAGTCGGCAGAAGAGAAGAGTGAGGGGGAATTTGATAGCAGCCTTCAGCTTCCTGAAGGGAGGTTTCAAAAAGGATGGAGAGACGCTGTTCTTAGTAGTGAGGGATGGCAGAACACGGAGCAATGGTCTCAAGTTGTGGTGGGAGAGGTCCAGGTTGGATATTAGAAAAAACTATTTCACGAGGAGGGTGGTGAAGCACTGGAATGGGTTACCTAGGGAAGTAGTGGAGTCTCCATCCCTAGAGGTGTTTAAGTCTCGGCTTGACAAAGCCCTGGCCGGGTTGATTTAGTTGGGATTGGTCCTGCCTAGAGCAGGGGGCTGGACTTGATGACCTTCTGAGGTCTCTTCCAGTTCTATGATTCTATGATTCTAGGAGGAATACTTGAACAGACAGACAGATGCTCTCAAATAATTAGTAGATTTGTATTATCAGAGTGCCTAGGAGCAAGACCCTGACAAACACAGAATAAAAAGACAGTCCTTGCCCCCAATGACAAGCAAGTACAGGTGAAGACAGACACATGGGGAAACACAAGGAAACCATGTGACAATATTGGTCAGCCCCATAAGCAGTGGCTTCTGCATATCAGCAGCCTAGACATTGCCAAGTTATTTGTGGGCACCACAAAGCAGACTTTGGTTTTGGAAGCCTTAAGAGGCTGAGATAAGCATTTCTCCCACCCTCACCTTCCCCAAAAAAGAAAGTTCCTGGAGAGTGTTTAAACAGGTTTGTTGTCACTGAATGGATATCAAAAACTCATCAGTGAAGGGAAGGATGCAAAAGTTGAATTGCTCCTACAAGTTCTAAGCTTACACTATCTAAGCAGAGTGACAAGAACCTGCTTGTGTAAAACCTTACGCACACATTCCAAAGTCAGAGGCTAGTGGGGGGTAACCGTACCTCTTTCATAACAATGAACTAGTTCAGCCATGAATGTGTATGGCTTTGTAACACAGCCAGTCCTTCCTCACTCCTGTAAGTAAAAATAAATCCATGCCTTGTACCCCTGTATGCAAACAAATTAGATCAACACACACAGAGAGCTATTATCAACTACAGATTGGTAGCTTAGCTTCAATTAGTCCTACACTTCCTACAGTAAACAGCCTATTGAAAGATAGCATCACCGCTAAAAATAGGGCATCTTGTGACCAGGCTGCACATGCATAAATGATTCTTTTTTAAGGCAGAGTTCAGAGTATTTCTCCCTCTGAACCATGTTCCAATTTCTGGTTTCCACCTAACCTGCTGAAATACCAGGAATCTTAACAGGAAAGGGATCTTAAGAGGAAACACCAGGAATCTCTTGAGAAAACTTTTTCCTCACAAAATCTTGCAGCGGATTTGGGAGTCGGGTTGCCAGATACTTTTGCGCACAAACATGGCGGGGGGAAAAATTGGTTGAGCAAAAACAAAACAAACAAAAAAGGAGATCGAACTTGTTGAGCACAAATAAAAGGGTCTTTAAATTCCCCCGCTCCTCCCGCCAGATGCGGCTGGGGAAAAATGTGCCCCATCTGAGAAAAACAAAACAGAAAATACCAGACATTTTATATGTCTGGTATTTTCTGGGGTTTTTTACTGGACAGAAGACACAATTACTGGACTGCCTGGGCGAAAACCAGACACCAGGCAACACCACTCGGGAGCTGTGTAAGCACCAGAGTCCAAACGCTCAATCTTTTTGAGGTGCAAAACATAAACAAGAAAGAAACCATGTTCTCACACATCATTTAGCGCCCAGTGATTCCCTACAGAGAAAAACAGATTAAAAACAAAAACTAAATCACAAGCTGAACTGCTATTGATCTTTCACTGAAGTTTCTCACTAACCATACTACTGTTTATATATACACAAACCACATAACCTTTCCAAATATACAACCAGGGTTTGCAATCATGCAATACTAGAAACCAGGAGACAAATACACTGGAAATTCAAGGACTGATTTTGGAATCAATGTGGCAAAAGAGAAGTTTTCTAGTTAAATAAATAAAAATGCAAAGCATGTAAGATCCTTCCTCAAACTACTAGAACTGAGCACAAGGCAACAAAGAAAAGAGAAACAGCAGAAACTAACCTCAAAGAATAATAAATAACAAAAACAATATTGCAGCCTATGCCTGAATCAGAAGTGGGGCCGCAATAGGATGCAGATTTGTTACATTAAACCTTTCCCCATTAAGCACTGTACTACTCAGAAATGCTTTATGTACCACATCTAGTAAACTTGCTAAGGTTGGCCACAAAAATCATCTGACCTTAGTTACATCCCCCTTAGTGGTCGTCACAAAGAGAACTTCTTTGTGCTGTTTCTGTTTTCTTGTTATGGGAAATCCTGGGTATGTTGAAAGTGATGTAATGTTTGTCAATGAGTTTAAGATCATGGGAGCTGGACAGCAGCCAGCCTCATACCCCCTCTGAACGCTGACTGCTGGATCCAATAGCAGCTTAGTCTGCTCTTTGTTTCTTTTAGAGAGCGTCTCACTTGTGTGTATTCCAGTGCAGGTATGCAGAGCACACAGAAACCCTTCTGCACAATATTTAGTTCAGGCTTGTGCTTTTGAAGCACAAGACTCTTCTCAAAAGGCCCTTCTCAGTCTGAGTAAATCCTGCTTAGTTTGTTGTGGGGGTTTGGTTTGACTCAACCACATGATCAGAGTCAGGTGATGGAATTGGGAACAAAAACTTTAAAAAAGGACAAACGGGTAGCTCTAGGAACTGAGTAGCTGCTCCCCCTTGGTGAGGACCTGTCTCCCTTGGAAAATGGGTACCTATCCCCGGTCTCTGCTTTGGAGTCTAGGTGCAGCTTATCTGATGGGTGAGTAACTACTTTTCACATGTGACTTTCTTCTTTCTTGTCTAGAAAGATACTAGTTTGGGTTCTGAACTATTGCACTGGGATAACGATGGGACTTTGCATTTTCACGCAGTTACTGGTTTTGGAAGCAAGGTATAACTGCAGGGGAAAGGATGAAGAAACAGAGGAAAGGAAAATAGGCTGCAAAGACATGATTAAAAGCATTTAGTCTTGAAACTGGATATATATACAACAACACTTAGCTGCTACAACGACCTGGAAAAACACATATGGCTGAGCACATTGCTCAGCTAAGTTTAAAGTATTTTGGAAGAAAGGCATTTAACAGCTGAGCTAAATCCTGAATATTTTGCAGCATTTTGCTTGTAGAATTGCAAAAGACAGAAGGAAGTGTTAGAAAATGACCCTTGTAGCTCCAAGGTACACAGAATAATCAGAGTCTTTCTGCAAAGCAAAGCATAGATACTGGACATACCGCAAAAGGGTTTTATATACTTATCTTGCTGTTACAACAGATGACATGCTATAGGTCAGAAGTCACCCTCAGATACACAGCTCCTACTGAGTTCAATGAGAGTTATTTTCATATATCTGAGGACAGAATTTGCCCCTCTGTTTAGTATATAAATAAATATTTTATATTCGTGTTAAAGGTTTTACTGTTGGGATTCCAAGAACTTTGTATTCCTTACAATATTTATGCCAAGTGGAATACCTGTCTGCATGGTGGAGCTCCATCTTAGGGTATGTCTACACTTGCACCCTATTTCAAGAGAGGGATGCAAATGAAGACATTCGAAATTGCAAATGAAGCCGGGATTTAAATATCCCATGCTTCATTTGCATATTCACGTTATGGCGCTATTTTGAAATAGTGTTATTTTGAAATAACAGATGCTGTTAAGACGTGGTTATTTCGAGAGAAAACCCTTCTCTCGAAATAACTGGTAAACCTCATTGTATGAGGAATAAGGGTTATTTTGAGAGAGAGGTTTTCTCTCGAAATAACCATGTCTTAACAGTGTCTGTTATTTCAAAATAATGCTATTTCGAAATAGCGCAATAATGTGAATATGCAAATGAAGCACGGGATATTTAATCCCGACTTCATTTGCAATTTCAAATGTCTTCATTTGTATCCCTCTCTCAAAAGAGGGTGCAAGTGTAGACCTACTCTAACAGATTTATTGCAGCATAAGCTTCCATGGGCAAAGACCCACAAAAGTCTATAATGGTTGCATATGCTGTAAGCGAGAAATAATTTTACTCTTTTAATTATAGAGTTCAGTCAATTACCTGGACAAATAAAGGACAAAGTTGGGGGCCTAGCTGGCATGAGTCATCCCATCCTAACAATTTCTGGCTGTATTTTTAGAGATTTTTTGGGGGGCGGGAAATCACTCCTTCCATCTAGAAAGAATAAATCACCAAATTTGGTCAATTAAAAATTTCAATACCGATTTTAGCAACAATTTCTAGAACATTTGATAAAAATTGATTTTATAAAAGTACAATTTCTGTGAAAAAAATAGAAACTTCAACAGTTTTGTCAACTTTTCATAACTCTTCTTCCTTCCAGTTTTTGAATGAGCAGGTCATACTAGGTGATCATAATGGCTATGTTCTACAAAAGACTTCATTGTTAAAATGTCTACCATTCTGTGCAATCCTGGGGACTTAATTCTACTTCTGTACCAGGGGCTCTGACGTACCCATGACAAGATAAACTCGACCAGGAGCTGGTTTGAGTAGGTCATACTAGGTGATCATAATGGTTCCTTTTGAAAACTTATTCCAGGAGCACCCAATGGAATGCTAGAGCCAATAGGTTTGCACCCCATAGCTTACAGTGAGACACATTTAACAAAACTGGAATTGGAACCAAGGCAGCCCATTGGCATATGCTCCCCAGGTGGGAAAACTGATCTCAGATTTTAAGGAAGGCTGAGTCAGAAAAGGGGGACTTCATGTCTAGATTTTTGGTCCAGGTATGGACACCATAATGCCCTTCTTCAAAGATACCATACAATTGCTGTTTCTGGTTAGGATCAGCATGATGTCCCACACATTTCAGATGAGCAGCAAGCCAGGCTGGCCACTCCCTTGAAAGCAGAGGAAATAATCAAGGCCACGGAGAAAATGAGTCCTATCAAGACCCCCAATCCTACTAGCCCACTGATAGAAATCTACAAAGTTTCAGAGAACTTCTGGCCTCTAAGCTCTAATACATTTACAAAAATGCCATCAAGAAAGGCCTGTTAACTGCTACTATGAAGGAAACCCTAATTACTTAAACCAGGCAAGGATGCACAAAAGTGTAACAGCTACACAGCCATTTCTTCAATCAATACTGCTATGAAAATAATTTAAAAAATATTGGCTGAGAGATCTGAAAAAGTAATGAGTGAAATGGTTAACCCCCTCTGGGTGGGATTTAATACAAAAATGCATGATTCAGATAACACGTTAGTTGATTAATGTTATGGCATTCAACGCTCTAGGAGTCTCCATGCAATCTTTTCTCTTGATACAAAGAAAGCTTTCCACTGAGTGCACAGGCAATATTTGTTTCTTATCCTGGATAAACCATTTATTTCACGGATAAAGCTGTTATATTCCAAACACAACTCTTGTATCCTAACAAATAGGACAACACCAGCCGGCACGGCCAGAGGCGGGGTGTATGGCAAGTCCAGGTTCATCTTCCCCTACACTCCCCAGCCAGAGGGAGGAATGCAGCAAACTGTGCACTTCCCCCTTGCTCCTGATGAAAGGGAACAGTCAGCAAAGTCCCCATATGAATCTGTGGGGGAGCATCAGCCCCTCTGCCCTCCCTAAAGGGTACCCTGGGAGGTAGGGGGTAGGAGGCTCAGGGCTGGGGCAGTCTAGGATGGGCGGGGGGGACCAACCCTTTCATCTGCCTGGTGATTCTGTCTCTTTTCTGTTTGGTTTTCTGAGAAGCAATCCCATTCTAGGCACATCCCATTTTCCTGGCACAATCAAACCCTGACCTTGCTTTAAGTTATGATAAGAAGAAGATGTATACTGAAGTTGGTTGTCCTAGCTCTTACTGTTTAGGAGGTGTTCTTAAGCAGACAGACAGACAGGCTCTCTCAAATAGTAGATATTTTACAATATTAAAAGAAAGTTCAGGCTGGAGACTAAGGAGAAGTGGCAATATATCCAGCATCTCCCATCTGCTTGGCCCCATTGCCTGTGGTATCCCTGACCACTGGAATTGCTTTCACTTTTCCAAATATTACCCAGGCTGCCGAGACCTATGGTGATACTATATGCATACTTGATTAGCAAATTTGAATTAAACACAAATTCTCTAAAAAAAGCAATGGGAGGAGGAATCAGGCCAATTATTGTCTGCTAGCCAATGGAAACAAATTTTAACCAGTGCTCCAAATTGTTCCTATGACCTCTAAGATTAATCCAGCAGACAATCATATGGAGGATGCACTGGATTCCTCTCCGACTATTCAAAACATGTGCTACTAAACCAGACAAATGCTGGTGCTGTGATTCAACAGGTGCTAACTTAAACCATGTTCTTTGGGAATGCTCCTATACTCTTTATGTTGTGGGCAGAACTTAATTGCGGAGTTAAATTTCTTCCTATCAAATAAAATTGTGTTACCGGGGAAACATATTCACCTAAAGCTCATGAATGTTAATTGGAAGTTGAATAAATCTGAAAAATGTTGGTAGCCAAGCTCAATCACTAAAAGCCTAGTACAGCAAAACTGGAAACCTCCCTCCCTCCCTGCTTTAAAAAAAAAAAGACCACAATCAAAGCCTGGAGTATGGGACATTGTAAGCATGGCCACCATGGAAAGAACAGTACACTGTAACAGAAATACCCAAGAAAAATTATCAGATGCATGGGATGTTTTCCTGCAAGTATCTAAATGATCCTATTACGTATATGCATGGCCCTTTTCCTCCCTCTCCTCTCTACCCTCTTCCTTCCCTCCCTGTTTCCATCCACCTCTCCTGAACTTTGTTTCTATTCTTTTATCTTTATTTTAATAATTTTACCAGTTGGATTTTTAAAGCATTTTGTTGTTTGCAGTTGTGCCATACAAATAATTGATTTACATTTTGATTATATCATATAGACATATATATAATGACATTCATATTTTATATTATTAAATGCTGCACCTTAGCTATATTTGAAATAGAAAATGGTTAATATATTATAAAAAATCTATGTATTATGTGGGGGTGGAGGGGGAAGGGGTGACAGACTTGCCAGGCCCCTGGGCAAGGTGGAGGGGAGGCTCGCTCTGCACTACCGGAAGGTACAGGGTGTCAGGCAGAAGGAGCAGGGCTGGGGATAGATAGCCCTCAGCCACCTGGAGTGCACTGCACTGTTGTCTTTCTTCCCCCACCTACTCCCAGACAGCCCTTAGAACGGCCTGGGGGTGATTTAAAAGGCCTGGAACTCCAGTTGATGCTGCTGCCACAGTAGCAATGGCAGTGGTGGGTGGGAGCTTTTGAATCACAGGTCCCCAAGGTAGCTGCCCCTTTGCCCCTGTCAGCAGGTCTGGTATTTATATATAAACGTAATATAAAGTTAATGGAAAAAAGGATCAGAACTAGGAAAGCCAGAATCGTCTTGGTGACACAGCAATCTAACGAGCTACAAAACCTTCTATTGCCACTCTCCATTAACTAGAAGAGTTCAGGATGAGATTTAGAGATTGACCTGAGCCCTAAAACATGAGGTTCAATATCCCTTCAGTCCATGTGATTACAGTTCTGGATATTATTTTTACTCATTTACATATCCAATCACTTTCTGAACCTTATGTTCTTGACTTCAATACTTTCCTGTGGCAATGAGTTCCACAGTCTACTTATGCACTTTATGACAAATATTTATCAGTTTTGAATGTGTCAATTGTTAATTTAATTGAAGGTCTCCATGGGTACGTCTAGGCTACATGCCTCTGTTGCCAGAGGCATGTAGATTAGGCTACCAGGCATAGGAAAATGAAGCAGCAATTTAAATAATCGCCGTTTCATTTAAATTTACATGGCTGCCGCGCTGAGCCGACAAACAGCTGATCAGCTGTTTGTCAGCTCAGCGCGGCAGCCATGTAAATTTAAATGAAGCGGCGATTATTTAAATCGTCGCTTCATTTTCCTATGCCTGGTAGCCTAATCTACATGCCTTTGCCGACAGAGGCATGTAGTCTAGACGTACCCCATGTGTTATAAGATGGGAGGGAAGAGAAGCACCTCATCTACCTTCTTTAGACCACTAAATATTATATATACTTTTATCTAGTTTGCATCTCTCTGCATCTTGAACATAACAGTGAAAATAGTTCCAAACATTAAAAAGTGGATTTGGTTTAACTACTAGATAAATGTGTCTGCATGGGGCTGTCTCCACACACAGAGAACACTAAGGGCATATCTACACTAGGAAATTATTTCAAAATAACTAATTTTAAAATAATAACTCTTGAAATAACTGTTTGAAATAAGCTTATTCTCCAAGGAAAGCAGGAGTTATTATTTTGAAATAACTAGGCTTGGTAGTGTGGTTGCTCTGCTTATTTCAAAATAAGATCAGGGCTAACTGAACTAACAACAACTTTTTTCCTCTTAGGTATTGTTGTTGGACAGATGACCACTGCCCCAGTCTCTACGGGATCACTGCAGGTGTCTGCTGATGTTTTGTCAGCTGCTCCAAGTGCAACCGCTGTTGGGGTCTCTACGGTGTCAACTACAGCTGACACAGAAACACTGTCAGCCACTGCAAACCCTACAGAAACTCCAAGGGTGCTCTCTGCCACAACAGTACCTGCTGAGGTTTCATCCACCACCCTAACTGGTACAGCATCCACCATTCCAAATGGGACCACTATTCAGGCTTCTACAGGACCAACATCAGCTGTGACCGAGTTGGCTGGGGTAACATCAGCTACCTCCAATGGCACAGCATCTACCAGCATGTCTTCTACTGCTCCAAAGGTGTCAGCCTCCTCTGGGGTTCCATCAGCCACTCCATTCGCAAGCACTCCAGAATCCACAAACTGCAGTGTGGTGAATGCGACGGCCTGCACACCTTGTTCACCAGGAACATTTCCCAGCAAGGGTAAGAGGCAAAGCGATTTCCCTGCCCACTGCAGCTCTCTTACTTTTCTATAGAGGTGATTACAAAAGGGATGGAAGCTGGGTGTGTGGTTTTGTTATTGCACTATCATGTCACATAGGAAGGCTCAGATTTTTTCCTCTACTCATTTCTTACATTAGAACATCTGGTTTGGTCTGTCCTGTCCAATCTGGGGGACTCCATAGCTTATTTAAGAAGTGGTAGGATTACCCTAAACATGCCATGCAGGTGAAACAAAGCTGATTGGGGGAGGAAGGGATTCTAAGCATGGTAGGTATGAGCAAAAACAATTTTAAATTATTTGTCTCAAACAATTGGAAGAAGGAAACTTCCATTAAAGACTTAGGATTCCTGCTCTATCAGTTAAGAGCAGAGAGAGCTCTGTGACCCAGGAAGTCCCATAGCAATGAGACTTGACATTTATGATTTTCTAAAGTACAAATCATCATCATAAAAAAAAGGCCTTTCATGCTCTTTAAAAAAGCAAAAGAGGGCAGCCTGCTTCCTCCTTTCTTTTTCTCACTGCAGGTTGCCTTCAAAGGGTGAGTGTGCACTTTCTTTCTCTCTATTGTTAAGCTCTCACATTCTGAGGTAATAAGAATGCCTTAAAGAGCTCAGATAAATATGTAGGCCAGAAACAGATGGCAAATGTATCCATTAACCAGACTGTTAGTGGGAACATCATCTCTACCCCTACACAGTGCAGAATACCTGTTCTGTGCTTATGCCTGAAGTATTCAGCTCTTCTTAAGGATTCATGTGATGTTCAAAATTAAAAAATAAAACCCACCAAAAAGGAAATTTTCCTTCATACCATGTGTGGTCAACCTGTGAAATTCACTACAGCAGTAGGTGAGCTAAATAATACCATAGTCTGTTGTTGTTTTAACAGGCTGCATAATATTAGGACTGAAAATAAAACATGTACCAGGGAGTGCTTAAGAGAGGGCTAACCAGTTCTCACGCTTCAAGGCGTGAATCAGCCCCTGCAGAGATCAAGAACCAATTCCCAACACCACCATGCACAGCTTTGCAGACTTGGATCCATTATAATCTTTCTCTTCTCACATGCTTTGTTGCAAAGTAGCAGGCACTGGCTTCCCCCAGAGGAAGGATAGAAGATGTGATGGATCAAGAGCTGACACAGCAAATCCTACATAATTATTCTATGTAGAATAAACTGGCTTTGCTTTCCACTCCAGCTCATCTGATGAAGTGGGATTTACCCACGAAAGCTCATATATTTTTGTTAATCTCTAAGGTGTGATAGGATTACTCGTTTTTAAAGTTACAGACTAACACGGCTACCCCTCTGTGACTGGTTTTGTAGCGTTAAGACTGAGAGAATTTTTATGATGTGGGATTGACTATTTCTGCGTAAGGCAGAATTCTCCGTTTTGGGGTTTTCTGCTTCAGTTCTTTTTCCTGCCAAGCATACTTAATTAAAAAAATTACTTTTGATCTTTGATTAGTTTGGACTGAGGGTAAAGAAAAACCTATTGGTCTCTCAAATTAAAAATAACCTTATTAATGGTAAAGATTCCACAACTGAGACAACAGATCTGAGACCTTGTTTCTTGTGCTAGTCTGAGCAGAATCAAGTACTTTGGGGTTATTATATAATTAATAATATAAATCAAAATTCTTATTTTGAATTTCAATATTCAGTATTGTGTGGGGACAACATTTTGATAATTTTTTCAGAGGCCTTAGGCAAAAATATTTTTACATTCCTTATATTGATGTTTCAAAAACTGGTGTTTTACCTTTGGATACAAATGTCATTTAAAAAAAATGTTGATTCTACTTTAGAAGCGTTGAGTTGTTTCTGCTGCTCAGAGGGTACCTGTGCAGACCCTGTCGATTGTGTATCTTGTCCAGTGGGTCAGTATCAGCCTCTAGCCGGAAAACTGTCATGCCTGCTTTGCCCACAAGGATATTACACTAAGTAAGTATGTAGTCCACTGTTGTGATTAAGACCATATTTTTGTTAGGCAATTGTGCATTCCTTCTCTCTCATTACAACTATTTTGGGTTTGTACAAGTGCCTAGCTAATGGGACCTTGTTCTTGGTTTGCCTTTAGGCACTACCAAAATAAACATGATCAATAATAATTTCTTGGAATGTAGAAGCTCTTTTGCTTCCCCTGGTTAGGCTGCAGGGGCAGTGTTAATCAGGTTTCTCAACTGTAGAACATGCAGGATTTTGCTTAATCAGAAACTATGGGTGAAAACCAGGAAAGGTGAGGTTTTTGCTCCAGCTCTTCCATATACTGCCTACTGAATCACTCAAAGGTGACTTGTATCCTCTGCCTCTCAGTTTTTCTATCTGTAAAAGCTGACTTACAAGGAGAGGCTGAGGTATTTGGGCTTATTTAGACTAGAGGAGAACAAGGGGGGAACTGATAGCAGCCTTCAACTACCTGAAGGGGGCATTCCAAAGAGGTTGGAGAGAGGCTGTTCTCAATAGTGTCCAGGAGCAATGGTCTCAAGCTGTAGTGGGAGAGGTCTAGGTTGGATATTAAGAAAAACTATTTCACTAGGAGGGTGGTGAAGCACTGGAATACTAGGACTGGAAGGGACCTCGAGAGGTCATCGAGTCCAGTCCCCTGCCCTCATGACAGGACCCAGTACTGTCTAGACCATCCCTAATAGACATTTATCTAACCTACTCTTAAATATCTCCAGAGATGGAGATTCCACAACCTCCCTGGGCAATTTATTCCAGTGTTTAACTACCCTGACAGTTAGGAACTTTTTCCTAATGTCCAACCTAAACCTCCCTTGCTGCAGTTTAAGCCCATTGCTTCTTGTTCTACCCCCAGAGGCCAAAATGAACAAGTTTTCTCCCTCCTCCTTATGACACCCTTTTAAAACCTGAAAACTGCTCTCATGTCCCCCCTCAGTCTTCTCTTTTCTAAATTAAACAAACCCAATTCTTTCAGCCTTCCCTCATAGCTCATGTTCTCTAGACCTTTAATCATGCCATAAATGTGTCACTCAAATACTTCCTGACAAAATCCTGTTATGGCTACGTCAACTGGCACTGCCATAGTGTACTCTCAACCAACTCTATTACAAAACCCTCTCTCAAGGCATATAAACTTCATCCTGTTTACCTCAGACCATTTCTCCAATTTGTCCAGATCATTTTGGATTATGACCCTATCCTCCAGAGCAGTCGCAACCCCTCCCAGCTTAGTATCATCTGCAAACTTAATAAGCTTACTTTCTTTGGCTATATCTAAATAATTGATGAAGATATTGAACAGAACCGGTCCCAAAACAGACCCCTGTGGAGCCCCACTTGTTATACCTTTCCAGCAGGATTGTGAACCATTAATAACTACTCACTGAGTACAGTTATCCATCCAGTTATGCACCCACCTTATATTAGCCCCATCTAAGTTGTATTTGCCTAGTTTATTGATAAGAATATCATGTGAGACTGTCTCAAACACCTTACTAAAGTCTAGGTATAGCACATCCACCACTTCTCCCTTATCCACAAGACTCGTTATCCTATCAAAGAAAGCTATCAGATTGGTTTGACATGATTTGTTCTTTACAAATCCATGCTGGCTGTTCCCTGTCACCTTATTATCTTCCAAGTGTTTGCAGATGAATTCCTTAATTGCTTGCTCCATTATCTTCTCTGACAGAAGTTAAACTAACTGGTCTGTAGTTTCCTGGGTTATTCTTATTTCTCTTTTTATAGATGGGCACTATATTTGCCCCTTTCCAGTCTTCTTGAGTATTCTAGGATGTATTCAGGCCCTGGTGACTTGCAGGCATCTAACTTTTCTAGGTGATTTTTAACTTGTTCTTTTTTTATTTTATCTTCTAAACCTACCCCCTTCCCACTAGCATTCACTGTGTTAGGCATTCCTTCAGACATCTCAGTGAAGACCGAAACAAAGTTGTCATTAAGCATCTCTGCCATTTCCAAGTTTCCTGTTACTGTTTCTCCCTAGGGTTACCTAGGGAAGTGGTGGAATCTCCATCCCTAGAGGTTTTTAAGTTCTGGCTGGACAAAGCCCTGGTTGGGGTTGGTCCTGCTTTGGGAAGAGGGTTGGACTCGATAACCTCTGCAGGTCTCTTTCAACTCTATGATTCTATGAAAAGGGGGTTACTATTTCACTGTCTCAGTGAAGTGCTGAGAGATTTAATTCATTAATGACTGCCACTGAGCCTATCACAATCTCTACAAATGCATGTGTTGGCCTAAGAAACCAGACCTCACAGATTGTCCAGACTTCAAAGTCTGTAGAACGTCGGGTATAGTGGAGTCGTGACTTGGGTACAGCTGTAACTTGTCTGGACTCATCTCCATCTTACGTCTGCTATAGAAATAACAGCTGTGCCCCCTGTGCATGATCAGTTGTGACTCACTGATCACATGTGTGCAAATGTTTCATTTGGAATCATGTACTGGCCCTTTACCTACATTAGACACAAACTAACATGTACAGGCAGTCTCAGAGCTACACCACTTTAATTAAAAATCCCATCACTTGGTGCCAAAAGCTTCAGCTGATTGTGGTTTAGCAACTTCCTTCAGGCCAGTTTCTGAAACCCATATGACTGCTGGAAGGCTCTGCAGAACTTGTTCTCTTGGTGTCAAGTATCAGAGGGATAGCCGTGTTAGTCTGAATCTGCAAAAGCGACGAAGAGTCCTGTGGCACCTTATAGACTAACTGAAGTGTAGGAGCATAAGCTTTCATGGGCAAAGACAAAGTGGGTCTTATGCTCCTACACTTCAGTTAGTCTATAAGGTGCCACAGGACTCTTCGTCGCTTGTTCTCTTGGTAACTTTCAGACTCTGTAAGACAGGTGGGTGGTCCCTTATTAAAAGCCAAACTAAATTCTTATAGTTGAATTGTTACAATGGCCACAGGACTCTTGAGCTACAGATAATTGGGTTTCTCAGTGTTGCCAATGATGCCTTAACAAAGCTGTCTCAGTTCCAAGAACAAAAGCTTCTGCTACCAAATCTATGTCTCCTAATTGTTACCTTTAATACAAACCCCAATGCGAACCTGCATTCAGTGGTTCTTTAACCCAGTCAGGTCAGCAATGAATTCTACTGGGCCTCAGAATCAGTAGCAACAGAATATGTCTGATCACAGTGCAAGTTCCACAGTGGCAAGAATTACCATTAATAATAGGGGAAAGGGAAACATAGCTATGGGGGTATGGAGGAGAAGGATCAAACGGAGAAAGAGATTCCTCATTTGGAAAAGTGGTATGATCTACAATTTCAGAAGGTGGCATAGAGAATACACTTATTAAGTTTGCAGATGATACCGAGCTGGGAAGGGTTGCAAGTGCTTTGGAGGATAGGGTCAAAATTCAAAATGATCTGGACAAACTAGAAAAATGGTCTGAGGTAAACAGGATGAAGTTTAATAAGGACAAATGCAAAGTACTCTACTTAGGAATGAACAACCAATTAGTTTCATACATACAGAATGGGAAATGATGGTCTAGGAAGGAGTAATGCAGAAAGGGATCTAGGGGTCATAGTGGCCCACAAGCTTAATCTTAGTCAACAGTGTGATGCTGTTGCAAAAAAAGCAAATATGATTCTGGGATGAATTAACAGGAGTTAATTGTGAGCAAGACATGAGAAGTCATTGTTCCACTCTGCTCACCACTGATTAGGCCTCAGTTGGAGTATTGTGTCCAATTCTGGGTATCACATTTCAAGAAAGACATGGAGAAATTGGAGAAAGTCCAGAGAAGAGCAATAAAAATTATGAAAGGTCTAGAGACCATGACCTATGAGGGAAGACTGGAAGAATTGGGTATGTTTAGTTTAGAAAGGGAAGACAAAGGGAACATGATAGGAGTTTTAAGTATCTAAAAGAGTGTTATGGAAGGAGAAAAATTGTTCTCCTTGGCCTCTGAGGATAGGATAAGAAGCAGTGGGCTTAAATTGTATCAAGGGTGGTTTAGGTTGGACATTAGGAAAAACTTCCTAACTGGCAGGGTGGTTAAACACTGAAATAAATTGCCTACGGAGGTTGTGGAATCTCTGTCACTGGAGATATTTAAGAGCAGGATGGATAGACATCTGTCAGTGATGATTTAGATGGCACTTGGTCCTGCCATGAGGGCAGGGGACTGGACTTGATGGTCTCTCAAGGTCCCTTCCAGCTCTAGTATTCTATGATTTGGATAAGAAATGCCAAAGCCATTTCATGCACCCTTCTCCTCTAAAAAGAGTTGACATTTCATTACCATGCCAGCTCTGATTCTGGTAACACTGAGACTGTATGGCCAAGATTTTCAACATGGGATACCTCAAGTGGGACTCCAAATCCTTGCTGAGGCTTCTGTTGAAGTGACCCAATGTTCAAAGGTGCTGAACACCCCACAGCTCACATAAAAATCAGCTGGTTGTTCTGCACATTTGAAAATCAGGTCTCAAGTACCTGAATGTGAACTCAGGCTCCTAACTTAGGCACCCATGCTTTCAAATCTTGGCCTAACTGCTTTGAAGACAAGACTTTTTAATCTTGTCCCTGCCTGTAAAGCTGGCTGTAAAGCTTGAAGTGTACTGCAGGAAATGCATAAACAATCTCTACTAGTAATGAATTTGGGAACATCATTGAATTGAATGAATGTTTAAAGCTCAGGCTAGTTCTAGTTGGGTATGTGAAAGGTTAACCAGTTAACTGGTACGCCTCACCCATAAAGCATGAGGCTTAGCGGGTCTGGTCAACTGGTGGAGGTTGGAACAACTTCCCACCTGCCATGGACAGGGAGCTGCTCCAGCCCTGGGGGGTTGGCCATGGACAGAGGCTGCTGTGGCTGTCCAGCGCCGCCTCCATCTGCAGTGGGCCTGGGTGTGTCACAGGTAGGGTCTGCTCTGATGGTCTGGAGCAGCTGCTGCCTGTAATGGGTGGGGGTGGAGGAAGAGGGGTGACCACTTCAGTGGTCTGCAGTGGGAGGGGGGACTTGCTCCAGTTTGGCTGGAATGCCCCCCCGCCCACTGCCCCTTTAATTGATTAACCATTCAAATGTAACATTTAACCAATTAACCGATTAAATGGGATTTTACAGCCAGCGTTCTAGTTGGGTTCTACCCCCAAAAGGCTTCACCCCCATTAAACTATTTCTATATTTCCTAAAGATGCATATGATGCAAGCAAATAGGTCTGTCAAGTTCAGAAGCCTTTTAAGCAGCTTACATTTGACTGACGTTTTTCCTCAAGGAAAATATATAAAACTGAACTAACTCTGCTCAACTCTTTTTAGTTTAACAAGAAGTGAGGCATGCCTGCCCTGTCACCCTGGCTCTTATTCCAATGCATCTGGGGCATCAGCCTGCAGCCCATGCGGAAAAGGTATGCTTTGACTCCTCCTCATCTTACAGGTGTGCTGTGATGGCAGCATGAACAAGATTTTTCTTATAACATATCACAGTAACAGATTACTGAAAAGAAAAAGTAGCATTGAGTAACAGGGTTATTTTAGACCAAAAAACCATAGGAAGGGAAAGACTAGCTTTCCCTTCTTTTCCTTGTCTATTCGGTATTTTTGCTAATTTGGTGTAAAACTAAGTCAAACGCCGCATCTCACTTGGTTCTTGTGTATAATAAAGCAGTTTATGCTCCCCTCAGACCTCAATAATCTTCCTGTAGGGTGTGTCTCTCTCTCTTCAGGTCTGCCTGTCTTTCTTCAGAAGGGAGGGTAGATGTTCATGTACCCTGACTAGAGTAAGTTCCTGCTGCTTCAGATGACTGGGTCAGAAGCACAGTTGCCTTTCCTGAATATAGGCAAAACATCCCTCCCTATAGCTTTCATATGGGAAAGGTAGGATGGCAACCCCCCATCCTTGAGACCATGCTGGTAGCCTATACTCGAAACTGCATTTCTATCGTTCGTCTTTTTCACCTTCACTCAGTTGAATGTAAAACCGGGATGAAGTGCTCCTCAGCCTACCACCAGCAACTCTGCAGGGCCTGTCTACCCATGAGGGGACACAAAGTGTCACTTTGCATTTCTTGAGAGTTTTAAATCTTGGTAATATCACTAGGTAGAAGTGAAGTGGCTGTGCCAATATTGCAACGTTATTGTGATTATTTCCTGGGTTTAGGACTTCTTAAAAAATTTCAAACATCCCTCTCTCCAAAATCAGTCAGCAGAACACATGAGGTTTTACACATTATTACACATTATTTACACATTATTGGTGGGCCTTGTCGTAATGCTTGATAACCTTGATAATTAAATAGTGGCATTACATGAGCTTAGGGAAGTTTCCTCTTTTCTGTTTCTTTAGGATATTTCAGCTTCCAGCAAAATTCAGCATTCTGTCTCCCCTGTCCACTAGGATCATTCTGCAAGTAAGAAACACTTCTATAACTTTTCAGGGGTATGGACAGGATTGTAAGTTTCTTTTTGTCACCCTTCTGCCAGGTGGAGCCAGCAACAACCAGGGCTGGGTTTAATATCTGGGTTCCTTTGCAACTCTAGAACAGAGAACTGGCTCCAGCCCACTCCCAATAATCTGGGGGAAAAGTCACACACTGATCCTGAGTGCCTCTGAGAGGCACTACTTCCCCACTTGCAAGCACAAGAATCTGAGTAGAGAAACTTTTAATTAAAGGAGATAAGTCACTCAACATTAAGATTAAATTCCCTGGATAACTAAGGAGGTGAAGCTGCCGGAGATAAGCTCCTGTGCAAAGTCATGAGAGTAATTTGGGATAGAGGAGCTTGAGAATTCAGTATAAAAAATTCCTCAGTGGGAAGGAAATGAGAGAAAGAAAATAAGTAACAATGAGCTGGCAAATACTGGCCTTTTGTTTTAAGAAATGAGCTTCGATACTGAGCGTTATCAGAACTGATCAGTGTTCTGTGACGGTTTCACATTCCATAAGTAGAGCCCTGCAAATCTCCGGCTGTAGATACGGATATCAGTAGCTCATATTTGTGGATACAGATGTGTATAAAATTTTGTATCCATGCAGGGCTCTACCCATAAGGCTTTTCTGTCTCCCCTTCCTATTGTAGATGTGCTGTACCACTTTCAATTGGGACTTGCATTGGTGTATCTTACCTCAGATAGATGGGTCTGCCCTCGAAGTTTGTATTAATGCAGCCACACAGCTAGCTAAAATCCTAAGAGACAATAGCCTCAGTTCTTAATGCAAGCGTTAACATCCAAATAGTATAAACCTATTCAGGTATTGCTCAATGTCATACTCAGTTTACATGCGGGATCAGATGATTCTGCTAGAGTTAGGCTATATTCATATCTTTCGTTTCCTCTCTCCTCTTCTCTCCAAAGTACTGCCAACTGCAGCCAGTGTACAATTTGCCCCACAGGAGAAGAGGCCCTTAGAGAAGCATCTGAAGAATGTGCACCTTGTCTGCCAGGTAATTAATAAGAGGGGAAATTAAGCTGATATTCCGCCTGAGAACACTGAGCTCTATATGGAGAATTAAACTTGCAGAAGTGCTTTAAAGTGATTTTTACTAGCAAATGGGAAAGCTTCCGGCACCTGTTCTCAGCTAGAGATTGCAGAAGACACTATTTCATCAGGATTGCAGAACAGTTCTTGCAACTTTTATTTCCACCATGCTAGCAGGCAAACTGTTTTTAGCATCAATACATTAGGATTTCAGCTGGTAATGTTGATCAGCAACGGGGTCGTTCACAAGTATACACGAGGTTAGTTACAGCATACTCCAAAACACTTCTGCTTACTCCTGCAGGAATTCGGTGTAAAAAAATTTAAAATTCCGTGAAAAACATTTAAAACTCTGCATTTTTTATTTGTCAAACCACCACCATAAAATCACACTAATTTCAATTATTTTGGTATTTATTTCAAAATACCTGTCAGCAAGGATGTCTGTAGCTATACAGACCAAAAAAGTAAAGGTTCAAGAATTTTTTTTGACAAATAGATTCCTTACGGGACATTTTAATACAGAACTTTGAGAAATTCATTTAAACTACAACACAAACACATTTCTTGCTCCCCTTGGAAGCAGGAAAAGCTTGCGAGATTCAAGGGTAAGGGAGGAGCTGAGAAAGAAGGAAGAAGCCTGGGATTGATCCTGGAGTGGGTGTGGATAGAAGAACAATTTTTTGTTGTTGTTGTTGTTTTTTTTTTTTTAAGAGGGGAGAAGAAGAGATTATTAGAAAGTTGGAGAGCTTCCTCCAGACAGACCCTGGTTGACCCCTAGTCTCTTCCATTCCACCAGGCACATCTGCCCCATCCTTATATTGACCTACAATCTCCCTACCTCCTGTGGCCCTGTATTCCCTTCTCATTTATTCCTTGTCTTAATGCTGCCACCCTACTAGTTCCTGAGCCTCAGTCTGGGCCCACACTAGCCATCCTGAATCCCAATGTGACTAATACAGGTTATACCAGCAAAACTGTGGTTTTGCCTGATTATTTTGTTTTGCTCACGAGGTGGATTAATCTACTCGGGTGAAAACAGAGTCACTAAGCATCGCATCCATTATGAGTGCTTTACTGGGATAGTATGCTGGTATTCCTATAACTGTATTCCCATTGGAGACCTGGCTTAAGCCGAAAACAGTGAAGCTCATAAAAGGGGAAAATGATGAAATGTTCAGATTCAATACTGCCTTATATAAACACCAAGCCACATGAGTCACTAATACAGCATTATGCACGGCCCCATAAGCAGCAGCAAGGCTAACACACTCCAGGAAATTCCATAGCGAAGTAGTGTTTTAAAATTAATGTACAAGGCACATTAAGTATTTTCAAATGCAAACACACAGTATCACAGTTTTAGTCCCATAGTTCTTACGAACATATGAAGTTCAGAAAATGAAAAAAAATCCCAACTATTTAGCAATTTTTAAACAACTATCAGCTTGCAGTCTGATAGGACAGATGGATTCAAACCAGTCAGACAAACACCTTTAAACTTTGGAACCAATATAGACGTTTGCAGCTTGAGCTCATCCTCACTTTTGAACTGTGTGAAAATGCAGAATGTCATTTCCCTGCTTTTCCACTGAACTCATGACTCAAACTTACTCCAGTCACCAAGTTTAGAAAAGCAGGCTGCCTGTCTCCCATGCATTCTCTTTTAGTTTTCTCTGCCCATCAGCATAGACCAGTTCAGACCCCAGGTTTTGTTTTTTGTGCATTAAATGTCTTCTACTTTTTTACAGCACAGGTGAACAGATACCAAAAATCCCAATACTCTAATCCTACTCCTCATTTTGTGCTTCTTTTGATTTGTAGGTACATATAAAGGCCCCAGCGACAGCAAATGTGAGGCCTGCAAGATCGGAGAATACCAATTACAAAGGGGCAAGGGAAACTGTGACAAATGCCCAGAAAACCATTACTGTCCTGTAAGTCTCGCTAAGCTGCAGCTGTGCGTGTCTTACCAAATGTAGCCGATCAATTACAAGCTGAACACATTTTAATTAACACCATCTTTATTCAATTCTCTTCTTTGTGGGGTTTGTTTAGCTTTTTTGCTTTAAAAATATGTGCACACAGTTATGTTAGAAAGGAGTAGTCTCAAATGTTGGCCCCTCGAGCCATTTACTTGTTTTGTTCCACAGGTGAACTTTTGGTGAAAGCTAGAGAATGGAAAGTGGCTCGTTAACTGTTACTTGAAATAGAGGCATGACTGTGTAACAGACTTCTTGCTCTCTATTCTACAAGTAATGGTGCCATTTTGGGTGCACCCAGGAATGACTTAAGTCAGTGATGGGCAACCTGTGGCCCGCTGGGCATGCAGTCCACATAGCCCAGGCATGTCCAAAGTCCGGCCCGCGGGCCAATTGCGGCCCGTGTTCCGATTTAATACGGCCCCCGCTTCCTCCCCCTCTCCTGGCTCCCCGGCGCTCTTTTGAACTGGCGCGCCCAGCGCGCCGCTTCCGGCTGCGCCGCCGCCACCCATGGCCTTCGCGGTCCTAGAGCCTGCCCTGTAGGGCACGTCCGCAGCCCTGCTCCCCTGCGGGTTTGCCCTGCCCCTGGGCCGCCGTGAGGCCGGCGTGCCCTGCGCTCTCCGCCCGCCTCCGAGCCTGTGGGCCCTCCGCCTTGGGGCTGAGAGTGCGGGGACGGCCCTCACGCATGTTCACTTCTTCAAATCTGGCCCTCTTTGAAAAAAGTTTGGACACCCCTGACATAGCCCATCTCCCTACCTCATATGCATCTCATGAACTGGCACACTAGATCCCTGCACTTTCTATTCCTCCCCCTCTCTTCCAGCACTTTCAGAGCACTGCCCATCCACGGCTTTGCATTCCATCCCCCCCCCCGGAGCTGGAATGCTGCACATCAACTGTTCACAGCTGTTCAAAATCTGGGAGGAGGAGTGAGGACAGAGCACGACTCAATTTGTAGTGCTCCAAAAGTGCTGTGAGGGGGAGGAATAGCAAGTGCAGACCCCAGTGCTCCTGTGCACAAGAGGTGCATGGGGGAAAGGGGCAGACAAGGGGTCCGCAGGCCACAGGTGACACCCCAGTAGACCACAAGTTACCCACCACTGCTCATGCAGCCCACTGCGATGAAGAACCATCCCTTATGTGTCCTATTCAGTATTCTTGGTTGCCCATCAGTGACAAATCTATTTGAACCAACCTGAAGCTACCACTCTTCACTTCCTATAAATTTCAGACTTGTCTACACAAATTCATTGCTCGCATAGCTATACTGGTTCTGACTAGGCTGGAAGAGCCCCTAGCGGTGTCACAGAATAAGACAACAGTTTTCCTGGCATAGCTACACCATTTCCCTGAATGATATGAACTAAGCCAATAGATTCAGAGGGGTAGCTGTTTTAGTCTGTAATCGAATTTTTTTTTAAAAACCACTGAATAGTCCTGCAGCACCTTAGAGACTAACAAAAAATGTAGATGATATGAGTTTTCATGGGCACAACCCATTTCTTCAGATGACTGGAGTTTAAGGGGTCCGGGTTCCAAATGAATAGCAGAGAAAGCAAGGGGATGGGGAGGGAAAGGAAAGGAGAAGAAATTGGGAAAGAATAATTAGAGTGTCCATGCTAATGAAGCTGATAGTGTGGGTTCTAAGTACTCTTAAGTACCCTGTGTTCGGCTTTTTATGTCATGAGGATGTGGAACGTAGCTGGTAAACTTGTTAAAGTCTTTGTTTAAACCTCTATTGTGGATATCAAACTTTCAAATAAAAAATAAAGTTCTGCAGCTTCCCTTTCAAGCTGGTTTTTGAAATTGTCTTGTAATAAATATGGAAAATTTGAGATCCATTAATGTGAGCCCAGGAAAATTAAAATGTTACCTGACAGGTTTCTGTGCGGTGTTACCTTTATGAATATCTAACTTGTGTCTATTAATCCTTTGTCATAGAGACTGTCCAGTTTTGCAATATACATGGTAGAGGGACATGGCTGGCAACTGATGGCATAGATCATGTTGGTGGATGTGCAGTTATATGAGCTTCTGATGTGGTGGCTTATGTGGTTATGTCCTGTGATAATGTCGTTGTATGGATGTGTGGACAGAGTTGGCACCAGAGTTGATTGCAGAGGTGGGTTCCTGGGTGAGTATGTTGGAGATGTATTGTGTGGTTGCTGGAAAGAATTTGTTTCAGGTTAGGAGATTGTGTGTAGGCGAAGATTGGCCTGTCTCCCAAAGCCTGTGAGAGTGACAGGTCATTTTCCAGGATAGGTTGTAGATGATTGATAATGCGCTGGAGAGGTTTATGTTGAAGCCTGTAGGTGATGACAAGTGGAGTTCTGTTGTTTTCTATGTAGCACCAATCTTGAAGAAGCTGATGTCTGGGGACTCATCTGACTCTGTCAGTCTGCTTCTTTAACTTCTCTGAGTGGATATTTTAGTTTTAAGAATGCTTGATACAGATCCTGTAGGTGGAGCAAATCTGGCTGTATCTTAGGGCCTGGCTATAAACAATGGATTGGGAAATGTGTCTTGGATAGAAACTAAAGGCATGTTGGAAAGGTGGTGAAAGTCGTGTAATTGGACTGAAGCGTCAAGGAAGAGGATCACTTGAGTGGACTAGTCCAGGCTAAGGTTGATGGTGGGATGGAAGTTGTTGAAAACCCTGTGGAATTCTTCAAGGGTCTATATCTCCCATGGGTCTATATCTATATAATGAATAATAGAAGTGCCCTTCTGTTGATAGTTGTGACCATACTGGATTTTTGCTAACACAGCTATGTCTGCTCTGGGATGTGGTTTTTCACACTTGTAGCCAAATACAGCTGTGCTGTCAACAAACCTAAAATTAGGATGTAAATACCCACTTAAAAGGCTGTTTAAACGATATAATTGTAATCATTTGTAATTTGCAATCATGGTAACTAATTGACCATTCATTATTAGTGGGAAATAGGTCAATGGAGGGATGATAGGAATTACTAGAGAACTTTCTGGGTGTCTGGCTGGTGAGTCTTGCCCACATGCTCAGGGTTTAGCTGATTGCCATATTTGGGGTCGGGAAGGAATTTTCCTCCAGGGTAGATTGGCAGAGGCCCTGGAGGTTTTTCGCCTTCCTCTGTAGCATGGGGTACAGATCACAGCTGGAGGATTCTCTGCATCTTGGGGTCTTCAAAGTATTTGAAGGCTTCAATATCTGAGATATAGGTGAGAGGATTATTCTAGGAGGGGTGGGTGAGATTCTGTGGCTTGCACTGTGCAGGGGGACAGACTAGATGATCATAATAGTCCCTTCTGACCTTAAAGTCTATGATTTAATTGGTTAACAATGGAGGGCTGGTGCACAGTGGCTGGGATCCCACGGTGGGGGCTGCTCTCATGGCTAGGATCTGACCAGTCTCCTCCCGCCCAGCCCTCCGTGAGTGAGGGCTACTTCAGCCAACTGGCATACTGTGGGCAGGAAGCTGCTCTGGATGGATGGGGTCCTGCTAGCAGGGCCACAGCAGGTAGGTGACTGCTCTCCTGCCCAGCCCTCTAATTACTGGGTAAAATGAACATCAGTTTAATTACATTAATTAAAACAGCCACTTAGTGTGCAGCAGCAGTCATAAAAGCAAATAGAATGTCAGGAATCATTAAAAAAGGGATAGAGAATAAGACAAAGAATATCTTATTGCCCCTATATAACACCATGATACGCCCACATGAGATACTGCATACAGACGTTGCCTCATCTCAAAAAAGATACGTTGGCATTGGAAAAGATTCAGAAAAGGGCTACAAAAATGAGAGATTTGGAATGGATCTCACATGAAGAGCAATTAAAAAGACAGACTTTTCAGCTTAGAAAAGAGGAGACTAAGGGGGAATATGATAAAGGTTTATGAAAACATGACTGGTGTGGAAAAAGTGAATAAGGAAAAGTTATTTACTTATTCCTACAATAGAAGAACAAGGAGTCACCAAATGAAATTAATAGACAGCGGGTTTAAAACAAACAAAAGCAAGTTTTTCTTCACTCAGTGCACAGTCAATCTGTGGAACTCCTTGCCAGAAGATGTGGTAAAGACTAAGACATTAACAGGGTTAAAAAAAAGGAACTAGATAGACTCATGGAGGTTAGGTCCATCTATGGCTATTAGCTAGGATGGGTAGGAATGATGTCCTTAGCCTCTGTCAGAGGCTGGAAATGGGGGATTGATCACATGAGGATTACCTGTTGTTCCCTCCCTCTAGAGCAGTGTTTCTTTAACTGTGTTCTGTGGCACATTGATGTGCTGTGGTGAACAGAATTTATAATGGCTGCCCTTAAAGGGGCAGGCAACTTTTTTTTTCCTCAACAAAAAAAATCCTTGGTGTTCCTGTCTTAAAAAGTTTAAGAAACGCTGTTCTAGGGCACCTGGTATTGGCCACTGTCAGCAGACAGGATACTGGGCTAGATGGACCTTTGGTCTGACCGTTCTTATGTTAAAAAACAAACAAACCTAGAGCATGCTAATCTTGTCCTGTCCTCCCTACTTTACCAGCAATGCCACCCTTCAAAGCCATGTTAGTCTCTAGCTCCCAAACCTCCTGCAATGCTTAGAACACTACCCTCTAGTTTGGTTCACCAACGCATAGTCCTCCCGCACACCACCTCATTCAGGTCACTCTTAAAAACTCTTATTTCCATGATGCTCACAATAAGTTAATAACAACCTTAAGAAATTCTTAAGCGTGGTTTCCTGGGCTCTCAAAAGGGTTTTTGCCTTTGAGTAGTGGCAGTGTACCACCCAGAGTCAGGGAACCTGTGACCTTGAAGGGAGGTTTTTTTTTTTTTTTTTTTTTTTTTTTAATTTAAGCCCAGAAGCCTTAAGTTTCTCCCTCGTACGGACAGTGTGTTCCTGTCTCTCGTAGCTGAGATGTTCTTCACAGCAGGGACACTCTTATTTAAAGCCCTGAATCATGCTGAACAGCGTACAGTGTAGCTTAACAACTATGACAGCCTTACCAGTCTGATGAAAGTTCCTATTTTATATTTTCACTTCCTTAGAGCCCAGATGTGAATCCAATTCTGTGTCCTCCTAATGCATTCTGCCCAGCTGGGAGCAGTCAACCACAGTATTGTATGGAAACATTTCTTTATAAGGCAGGAAACTCTTGTGAACTGGCTCCTCTAACCATTGTACTACTAGCCCTTTCCTCAGCAGGTGAGTAGTATATACTATGCTATAGTAAAAGTGGTACATATACCACCTGCAACTTGGGTAACTTCTTGTTTAAACAACGGTTAAGGTGTTCCTTTGATAGTATATTCCTAACATTTTCATTTCTATCGTGATTTCTCTTCTTTGGCCACTTGCATTTTTGCTTTCAGATAAATTAATTTTTGTGCCTTGTTTCCTAGAATTCTCCAGCCTATTTTCATTTGAAGACACATTCGGTGATCTTGTAATACATGGGCATACTATCCAATTTGTGACAGCCCAGCCATTCACTTAACTAAATTGTCTGTAAAGGGTTAAACCCAGAGACAGTGGGTATCCAGGAAGTGTTGGCAGGGAGCCAGGAAAGCCAATGGGAAGAGAGTGAGAGTTGAATTAAAAAAGGTTCTACCTGTTTCAGTCTTTTGTGTAAATTTAGAGCAAGAGCTAGGGACAGATAAGTAAGCCGACTAGTCATGCAATATCCATGTCTAGAAAGGACGAGAACCTTGGAACAATAGATATGTACATCTAAACAGGGAATGTTTAGACAGACACGATCAAGTTATTTTCTTTAATTCTGGGTTTGGTTGAACTCCTGTGCGCTGATTTATGTACCCTTCCCCCAGTACTCTAACTGTTAAAAGGAATCTCAGAGAAGTAATTCTCTGTGCTTTTGATCTACTTCAGATGCTCTGTAACATGTAGCAACCAAGTATGCTTTATCAAATATATGTTGTTAATTCACATTTTAAGTCTGTGATCTGATACTCGTGTTCTAGATGGCAGGAAGTTGTGTGCATGTGCCTGAGATTGAAAGTCCACTATAAAGAAATTACAGTAGTTTGTTTTCAAGCATCCTCCTGAAAAAGGGTTAAAGAGCGTGGGGTTACCCCACAGGAAGAAATTCTTAAGTGTGTTTTCCTGGGCTCTCAAAAGGGTTTTTGCCTTTGAGTAGTGGCAGTGTACCACCCAGAGTCAGGGAATCTGTGACCTTGGGGAGAGGTTGTTTTTTTGTTTTTTAATATAAGCCCAGAAGCCTTTAGTGGCAGAGTATTTTAAGATCTCTTGCAAGCACCCACTTCTGCACTCAAAGTGCCTGAGTAGGGAACAGCCTTGTCAAGGAGGCAGCAGTGGTGGGATAATTTTGAATCAGGAGCAGAGTTCAACCAACTCCAAAATTAAAGAAAATAACCTGATCACATCTAATTAAACATTCCCTATTCACTTATGTATCTGTTCTCAGGTTCAGCCCTTTCTAGGCATGAATATTGCCAACACGTCTTGGATACCCACTATTCTGGGTTTAACCTTTTACAAGCCATTTAATTAACTGACTGGCTGGGCTGTCTAGAAAAGGAAGCACTCCTACCATTCATCATAGATCCATTCAGGAATTTTGTGATGACTTGGCCTTTCAAGAAGCCAGATACTGACATTGAGATGAGGCAATAGATTAAAATGGTAATAGAACAAGACACTGCAAATGAATGTAACATGTCAAGTGTGATTTTAGGAAGAGCACTGGTGGTTTATTCAACTGCACCATAGGGATGAAGCTAAGAGTGGGGTCTCAAACTCCTTGGCTTTATGAAAGGATGTGTAGAGTTATCCTGCTTTAAGGGGTTGGAGCTTGCTGATTCTGTGTGGAGGTTCTGGCCCAAAGACAGACACTTGGGAGACTAAGGTAAGTATCGAATATAAACCCGGTTGAGAAGTTTTCAATTAATACGAAACCAAAACTTTCAGCCTCAATACACTTACTAATTTCACACACTCTAAGGGCAGGTCTTCATTCATGACCCAGTGCTACAGAGGGATGCCTGATATTTAGAGCCAGGATGCTGCTATGTCATCAGAGGCATCCATTACTGTCTGTAAAGCCAGTTTGGAGCTTTTTTCTTAATTATTTCCATGAGTTTCTCCCTGCTGTCATGTGGGAATTTTGCAATTAATGACACTTTCTTCAAGTCAAAAAATGTCTGATAGTTTTTATGCAGGGTTTGAGGAAATTTAGCCAAAGCTTAGAATTACCAGGTGAGACAAATCGGATAGTCTTGCTGCCACAGGCTATAACAGAGAATGCAAGGAGGGTTACAATCACCCTATCTTTTATGCTCTCATAAGGCACAGGATACATGCACTGTCCCAGTGGACGCTGCCATTTAAAAAACAACTGATCTCCTGCATGAGCCACAAGTGCATCTACAGTAGGATCCACATTAAGACATTCAAAGAAATGGCAGCAACAGCACTGCCTTCTTCCCAAACATCATTTTGTGCCTTTCCTGCAACCCCCATCTCTGTCCATCCCCGAGCTCAATTAATTTTGCCCCCTTTTTTCCTCACTCCACCTACCCCTGTCTCCTGCTTGTCAATGCACCTCTGCTCCTCCCCATCTAAGCCTGGAACAACTATCTAATTCTCAGGCCCGGTGTTCCTGCAAGCACAGAAGTGTGTGTACAGGAAGCAGAATGTTTTTCACCGGAGGAGGGAGCAGAGGTGCCATGATTTGCTGAGTTTTTTCTGCTCCTTTCCCATCTCACTTTGGGAGAATAGCACCAGCCATTCCCCCGCCACCCAAAGAAAACCCCCAACCTCTCAAGGCTCCAAGAGGAAATGATAGAGCTTTTCTTGCTTCCTGCAGCAGAGCTGATTGGATGCACTTCCTCAGGAGGTAATGAAGTGGTGAAAGCAGCCAGTTTGATGGGATTTTACCTGATTGAGACAGGAAATCATTTGAAGGCTGGATCCTCTCCTCTGGATTCACCTGATACCACTCCTGGGCTTTTCCATCAGAAATGCTTTTTCAAAAACAAACAAACAAACCTATTCAACATTTCTTAGCAACGTTCCCTATAATCTTTTCCATCTGTGTGTGGAATAATTTTTATGTGTATTGAGGTAGGTGTGAAAATGCACCACCCGTAGAAATACAAAAATTAGCTGTGGGTGCTCTGCTAAGCAGCTGGGTGACATCTGAATTTCTCCCGAGTAGCCACAATGCTCCTTAGTTAATTCATGGATTTCAAATGGAACATAGTCTGAATGAGGGATAAATAGAAAAATGCCACATTCATAAGAACCCAGGAATCTACTATATAGTCTGTCTGTCCAAGAACTTCTCCTAAAGGGTAAGAGCTAGTACAATCAAATTCGGCATACAGCTGTTGTTGTCATGACTTAGGGTGTGTCTAGACTACATGCCTCCTTCGACGGAGGCATGTAGATTAGCCAGATCGGAAAAGGGAAATGAAGCCGCGATTAAAATAATCGCGGCTTCATTTAAATTTAAATGGCTG